CACGCGTTTTGGTCATGTTTATTTGATTTCTCACAAGTCAGAAGCATTGGATTGCTTTAGACGATATGCTCATGAGGTTGAGAATCAATTAGATAGGAGCATTAAGGCTCTAAGGACTGACCAAGGACGTGAGTATCTATCTGAGCAATTTAAAGTGCTCTACGAGAAAAAAGAAGTCATCAGGCAATTGATAATTCCTAAGACTCCACAGTAAAATGGTGTAGCGGAGAGAAGGAATCGCACATTGCTTGACATGGTTAGATCAATGATGGCGCAAGCTAATCTTCCCATTTCTTATTAGGGAGATGCTTTATTGACTGCTGCCTACGTCCTCAACCGTGTGCCCTCCAAATCAGTTCCTTCCACCCCATATGAGATGTGGACTGGCAAAAAGCCTGATTTGGGCAATTTGCGGCCTTGGGGTTCGGCAGCTTACATACACAACGCTTCTCATAAGTTTGGGAAGTTGGGCCCTAGAGGAAAGAAGTGTATCTTCATTCGCTATAGTGAGCATTCTAAGGGCTATGTGTTTGTTGGGGAGCATCCGGATGGAAGTGTGACTGAAATTGAGTCACGAGATGTGAATTTCCTAGAGGAGGATTTCCCTAGCAGAGGTGAGGTAACTAGAGAAGTAGAACTCTATGAGATGAAGGATCTACTTGAAGGCGCACCTAGTAGCCTAGTAGAGAATGAGGAGATAATTCCTAAAGCTCTTAGGGATAGTGGGAGCGATCTACCTGCCCATGGATTAGATCCAATAGATGAGGATTCTCAGGATTCTCAACTACGTAGAAGCAAACGTGAAGTTATACCCCGTCGTCATTTTGAGATTGAAGGGGAAGCATTCATGATTGCTCCGAGTGATAAGATGGAGCCTAAGAATCTCAAATAGGCTCTCTCAGCCCCTGCTAGTAAAGAATGGAGTACTGCAATGGATGAAGAAATAGAGTCTATGAAGAAAAATCATGTCTGGGACTTGGTTGATTTGCTGCCAGGGCACAAGACTATTGGGAACAAATGGGTTCTCAAAATCAAGTGCAAGGCGGATGGTTCCATAGAAAGGTATAAGGCTCGTCTAGTGGCGAAAGGTTACACCTAACAAGAGGGTGTGGACTATGAGGAAACTTTTTCACCAGTTGTAAGGTTTGCCTCTATTCACCTAATCCTGGCCATAGTAGCTCAGTTGGACTTAGAGCTATATCAGATGGACGTTAAGACTACATTTCTCAATGGAGAATTGGATGAAGAGATCTATATGGATCAACTAGAAGGCTTTATGGCAGTAGGTCAGAAGCGCAAAGTTTGCAAGCTTCAACGATTTATTTATGGCTTAAAGCAATCATCCAGACATTGGAATCTGAGATTTCATTGAGCCATTGTTTCTAATGGGTTTACGATGATTGATGAAGATCACTGTGTATACGTTAAGCGGTCCAAGGACATTTTTGTGATATTGTCATTATATGTAGATGACATATTAATGGCTGGAAATGACAAGGAGATAATTGTTGCCACTAAAAGGTGGTTGTTCTCTACATTTGAGATGAAGGACATGGTGAGGCAAGCTATGTGCTCAGTGTTAAGATCCTTAGGGATCGCACTAGGAGACTTCTTGGTTTGTCTCAAGAGACTTACATTAAGACTATCCTAGAGCGATTCCAGATGCAGAGCTGCAAACCCATTGACACTCATGTTGCAAAAGGCGAGAGCCTAAGCCTTGATATGGGTCCTAAGACTCAAGAAGAGAGTGAAAGGATGGCCAGTGTTCCCTATGCAAATGCTGTTGGAAGCTTGATGTATGCTATGATGTGTACACGTCCTGACATTTGTTATGCGGTCGGATTGGTGTGTCGTTACCAATCCAACCCAGGACCAGCTCATTGGAAAGCAGTTAAGAGGATATTACGATATCTTAGAGGGACTGCAGATTACACACTTTGCTACCAGAGTTCAGATCTACATCTAGTTGGCTATTGTGATGCTGACTGGGGAGGAGACCTAGATGAGCGTAAGTCTACTTCAGGATATGCTTTCATGCTTAGCGATGGTGCTATTTCTTGGAGCAATAAGAAGCAATTCTGTATCGCCTTATCGACAATGGAGGCTGAGTTTGTGGCTTGTTCATCTGCCGTTCAGGAAGCCGTGTGGTTGAGGAGATTCCTTCAGCATTTGGATGTTGTCACACACACTTCAGACCCTGTGACTATCCATTGTGATAGCATGGCTGCACTCGCTTATGCTAAGGATCCTAAATACCATGGCAGAACCAAACAAATTGATGTGAGGTTCAACTTTATCAGAGACATTTTGGCGCAGAAAAAAGTGCTCCTGGAGCACATCCCTACGAGTCGTATGGTTGCGGATCCTCTGACTAAGCCCATTGCTAGAGATGTTTATCTTACTCATGTTAGGGCTTTAGGACTATGTCATAAGATGAGGAGTTGATGTTCAGCTACTTTGGTATGTTGCCTGCGGTCATATATGATTCGGCTTTAAGGGACATTACTGGGAAAGCGGTCAATTGCAAATTGAATGATATAAGGGTGAAGGGAAGATCATCTAGTTCTACATCTCTGCTCTATATTCACTATCGACAACTCACATCGTTCTTTATAGGATGCTGATTGGGTGTGAATATAATGCGGGACCTAGGGGAGTCAAACATGCTCTTTGAGAGATTAGAGATGTTTTTGGACTGATGTAGCTAGATGGGTCTGGGTACATGAGTTCTGTTTTTTTTTGGTTGATGTCTCTATGCTGACTCATATTGAGTTTCTAGTATAGAACTTCCACATGCAGGTGTTCTCAGCGGTCGCACGGTGCATTGGCTAGTATGGGACTGTTCATTTTTTGGGAAGATTGAGATAGAGATGTGGCAGTGTCATGCCGACTCATGTGCGAGTGGGAGATGTTAGAAATGGGCGCTAATGTGGTATGACCATTTCAATGCTTTGAATTTATAACTGTAACTCCTGCATTAATGGGGTTTGTAACTCCTGCATTAATGGGGTTTGTAACTCCTGCCTTTATTGCAGAGGTTAATGGTGCATTAATGACCAGCCATAAAGGCTGGAGGCTTTTCCTCTCTCCCCTATACATGTATAAATTGAGACCCTCCTGTCAAGTCTAAAACACACAGAAATTTTCCATATTTTGACTCTCTCCCAAAAACAACGATCAAAGCCGTTTGCACTGTGATTTGTGTGGGTGATATTCACTGTTGTAATATCACCCCACTGCTGGGTTGACTGATCAGATTCAAGAAGCACGTGATTTACCCACGAGATCTTTTCTATTCAGACTCTGCAAAAAAGGTATGACCATAATTTTTATTCCGCTGCGTTATACTGCTGATTTACACATCTCATCTCATTCTTTGATCGGCGCTGCTATATGCTCTTGTTCCTCCTCCTTCCTTACCTTGCCGATCAGCATTGTCCTAGCCTCTCCGCTACTGCCGTTAGCCTCGCCATCGCTACTGTCCGCTTACCGCCGCTGCTATCTTCTCACCGTCGCTGCTGTCTTTTCTTCGTTGTTGTTCTCTGCTAGCCGAGTTGCCTGGTATGTGGTTCTTTTTCCTCTCTCTCTCTCCGCTCTCTCTCCATTCCTCAATATCTATCTCTTACCGAAGTAGACAAATAGGTAGTGTTTATTAGTTGTTTATTTGTTGTATCAAAGCTTTTCTAGTTGCATAAAACATAAATTCTTAGTGATGCTCTCATCATATTGTCTGGTGAGCACATGAAAGTGCTTTATTTATTTTGCTTTAATCAAAGTGTTCTCATAATATTGTATAGGGAGCACAAAATGAAAACACAATGTTTTAATTTTTGACTATTTTAGTTAATTTATAAATTAGATCTTTTACTCTTTGATTCAAGTTTTATAATTTAAATTATGTTTTCTTACAAACCGCCAATCTGCCCGAACCGCCAAGTCGAAACTGCCATTATTTGCCAACCGAACTGTCGATTTTTTTTTATAAAAAAAATGACAATTTCTAATAACACTTTTATCAATCCACCACCTGCCATATAATTTCTATTTTTTTCCTAAACCGCACCAACCCACACCGCGCACACCCCTACTTATCACCAAAGCTCATAAACATAACATTTTTGTTTTTATTTTTTACCAAACAAAAAACAACAAAACCTGGGCATTGCTCAACAATTTTCATAATTTTTTATTTATCAAAACACTTTACAACCACAACCAAAGTGAGTTAAAAGGACCAAAAATAAAGAAGGAAATTACTAATTTACTAATAAGCTACTCGAATGTCTAATTCTTAGCAGAGATAGGGACAAAATTAGTAAAAAAAAACAAAAAGCCCAGGAGCAAAAATAAAGTATAAAAGAAGTGAAACCCCAAATCAGCAATTAGAAAATTTTCATCTATTCTTAATCAAAATCAAAACCTTAATGTCAAAAAGTACTAATTTTGAAATTAAAAATTCCAAATCAAAAATTAAAATTGTAATTTTTGCAAAACAAATGTCAATGTGGACGATGGGAGGTAGAGGTGCGAAACTCCGGTGTGATAGAGGTGTGACAACTATAGCGTGAGGGGGGTGGGATAGCTGCTAGTTACTGTGGTCTCTTCTCTGATTTGTGTCTGATGGAATGATTTCTGATGAAATGTTGTGGGTAAGTGTTTTAAGTGTTGGAGAATAAAAAAAAGTTGGAGCCAAACATGTGGGTCACACTTAAAACTTAAATTTTTTTATTACATAAAAATATAAAATATGAATTAAATTTAAAGTATTGTAATAAGATTATTATAAAGAAAAATGTCTGAAGGTCACAATTTTTATGATTTAAATGGTTTAAAATTATTAAAATGATGTCATTTTAATAATTTTAAAATTATTTTATACTTAAAACAACATCATGTTAACAATTTCAATTTCGAACCATTTCAACCACAAAAATTGTGTACCTATAAACAATCTGCTAATGCCAAACACCACTAACTTTTGGCAGTGCCTATTTCTGGGAAATTGGCTCAAATATTTGTTTGTTTTCTCACCTCAGCGATTCAAACGGAGTGAGAGAGAGAGAGAGAGAGAGAGAGAAGCAATACAGATAATCATAGGATAGGAGAAAAGTAGAGAGAGAAGAAGAAGCAGCAACAATGGGAAAAGATCTGAGCGACGAGCAAGTATCTTCCATGAAAGAGGCATTCACACTCTTCGACACCGACGGCGACGGCAAGATCGCTCCGTCGGAGCTCGGCATCCTGATGCGCTCCCTCGGCGGAAACCCTACCCAAGCTCAGCTCAAATCCATCGTCGCCGAGGAGAATCTCAACTCGCCCTTCGATTTCCCTCGCTTCCTCGACCTCATGTCCAAGCACCTCAAGCCCGAACCCTTCGATCGCCAGCTTCGCGATGCCTTCAAGGTCCTCGACAAGGACGGTGCCGGCTTCGTCGTCGTTTCCGATCTCAGGCACATCCTCACCAGTATTGGAGAGAAGCTCGATCCGGCTGAGTTCGACGAGTGGATCCGCGAGGTCGAAGTCGGATCCGATGGAAAGATCCGTTACGAGGATTTCATTGCCAGGATGGTCGCCAAGTGATTGTGTAAGTGAGATTCTCTCTCTCTCTCTCTATATATATATATATGGATCAATGATTAAAAATGTTGTTGATGAGTGAGAAGTGTGGTCTATTGTGTTGAAATTGAGATTTCGTTTGATATATTCATAATGCATAGATGGATATGTGCTTGTTTGCGTGTGCTTCTGTGTGTTTGTATTTGCAAATGAGAAAATTGATGGTTCCAAATTCCTGAAAAGTCATCATTGTTCTTGCATTCATGTTGAGGAAATTAACCACTCTTTTGTTGCCAAAAAAAACCCAGAAAGTGCTGTACTTTTATGCCATTTTTGGTTGAGGGATTTGGGAAAGGTTTTGAGAAGGGAAAGAGAAAATTAAAAGGAAAAGGAAAATGTGCGTGAAATTGAGTGAAATGTAGGTATATTTTATTAATATTTTATCTATATATTTTTTTTTTTTTATCTTTTCAAGTCTCCCAACCAACCACATCGTTAGCCTCCAATTGTAGAGATCAATGTTTTGAAAGGTGTTATTGAGGCGAAGCTGGGGTAAAACGAATCGAGGCTTTGATTTTTATGCCACACTCCCCAAAGGCTTCCACATTGTAATCTTAGGTGTGTGTTTCATATGTGCCTTGTATGCCTTCTGCATAAAAGCATATGTTGTCTTATGTTGTAATCTGAGTTTTATACATGATTTAAACATAATGAAGAAAACCTATTTTGTAATTATATTTCATAGGAAATATCTTGTAAATTACAACCAAGAAAACACACTAACCCTCTAGTGAGAAGTTCGATAATTGAAGTTAAAAAAGTCGATTTCACATGTAATGAGAGAAAATTTACTTCGTTGTAGTGAAATATTTGAAACCTTGATGAAAAAAATATTTACATCTTTAAATTAATTAATTTATTAACTAATAACGATAGAAATTCAAAATCTTTATGCCTCTACACCTTGAGGCTTATGCCTTACTTCACGAGGGGTAAAGCTCCTTGCCTTATGCAATTTCCTTTAAAAACTTTGGTGGGGAGACAAGAATTAACCATCATTTTGGGTAATCTTTTTGGTAATTAAGGTAATTTAAAAATTACAAGTTATTGTCGGGAAATTATTCAATATTCCCGGAGCACCACATGGTCATACTTCAAGCCAATCATCAATTATTTAACCCCATGTTGTTCTCCCATCTCCAACATGAATTGTGGGTTCTTATGCCTTTCCACCAATCAAAACCTTATGGAATACCACGTGTCCATACTCAAGGAGTACTAAATAATCACTCGTTATTGTCTTAGCCTTCAAAACATAATAATCTGGAGAAGAAAGCTTTGATAAGTGACCAAGCTCAGAATTGTCGTAATTAAATGTAAGGGATTTGGATCCTCCCCATTTCATATGGAAATGGAGAGGTTCATTTTTACCAACAAAAAAATTGTAAACGCCCCAAACCCGGCTCCCGTGGACCGAGTGTGCGAGTTAAATCCCAAGCAACTTTTCTCAAATAACAATCCTTAAATTCCCCCCCCCCCCACAATCAATAAATTCCCCCCCCCCACCCCCCTCCCAAAAAAAAAATTAAAAATTAAATGAATAATCTCCAATTTACAATTGCTTATGGACTTTAAATAATATGAAAGAATTTCAAATTTTTCATCATCAATAATTCTTCATATAATCTAATCACGTATTGGACTATACTTCAAAGTCAACTTGGAATCTGCAGTGATGGGGAGAACAGGGTAAGCTCAAGAGCCTTGTAAATAACTAACTACCACAACTAGTAGGATCAAGTATCTATTAAAAACATATATTTCAAAAAATATCTTAATGGATTTTTCATAACCAAAGAATAACAAAAGAACTTTAATTTCATAATGCGTTGCACCATGAGCATGCATTGATCAGAATATTTATTAAACATACTTGTTATATTCGAAGGTTCCAATGTTTAATAAATCATTTTAACAGTTCAATACAAAGATTTAATAATTGATAGTCCGATATACACAAACACGAGTCTTTGCGATTACAGTCACATTATCTTATGACAAGGTCTAGAACCACATTTAGCTTTGTGGTCGAAGCCCAAAAGAAACTAGTTTCTTTTCCAATACTTAACCCCCATTGGCTAGGGTCCATATCATATTAGCTTTGTTACACGGACTCTTCAAAATAAATCAAATACTTGTGTCGGACACTTGACACTTGAAGTAAGGCATATGTGTTAGATACTTTTCAATGGACATTTATTATATAATTGTATATAACACTATTATTATATATACATATCGTTGTATAATTGTTATAAATGTCTTTTTGACACTATTAGGGATATATAGTACCATTTTATCTCAAAAGCTTGGTTAAAAGTATAAAACTATGGCATTTTTTTTGTTGATTCTACATACTCTTAAATTTGTGATTTGATGAGTCCGACCTCTAGATACATACCAGATGCAAACAGTTATACCCGAGTCCTTGTAACATAGCATATTAGTTAGATTGAGCCATGTTTCTAAAAATACAAGATTTTCAATGACATTAAAACATATATTTTAATAACACAAAAATTAATGGTTACAATTAATTCAATATTTTCAAAATCAATTTCAATCTCCTACTTGACCCATATTTTATACAAACATAAGAAACACAAGTATTCAATTATAGAATAAATACACAAGTGGTAGGAGGTAACTAACAAATTTCTTGATCAATACCAATTGATACATACACATCAATCCCATAAATTACATACTAAAGTTTCTTCTTGATCAGACCTAAAATCACCATTGATTTCAAAACTCTCTCGATTTCTCCTTCTCTCTCATAGTTCCTAGATTTTTGCTGTATCTTTTTCATAACTCTCTCTCCTCCTCCTCCTTCCCTGTTTCTTCACTTCTCTCCCCACTTATTGAACTCCTTGACTTCCTAGTTTCCCCTTGTGAAAGCATGAAAGTATAGGCAAATGGCCCAAAACCAGGCTTTGTGTGTGGTCAGTTGACCATCTCTCCCTCCATACAAGTACCCCATACTCACAAATGGCCCAATCCTCATTACTTTCTCTCTCTCCAAAAAATCTCTCAATTGGCTTTCTTTGTCTCTCGACTTTCTCTTTCTATACACACTCCCTTTCTTGCCCATGATCGCACATCGTTGATGCCATATTTCCCTCCTGACCATATTATCCTTGTTGACATGATGGCATCGGTGAAGACTGAAGAGAGGTCTCTGTGAAGATGGTCCGCGTATGTTAGCCTCCCCTCCTTGCTTGATCGTCTGAAGCTCACAGTTGGCCATTGGAGTTGTGTGTGTGTGAAAAAGAGTTGGGACTTTTAACCTTTTACGTCAAATGAGGAAGACCACTAGTCTGTCTTTCTTGTTAAATCTGCAACCTTTCCTCCTCCTCTTCTTCTTCTTCCCCTATTTTGACTAAGTGTCTCAGAAAAGGAGATGTGTGTCCTGCAGAGAAAAAAAAAGGACATGGACAGAAGTGTTTCCAACACCTTCCACAATGTGTCCAGCACGTGTCCTTGTCCACGCATGCCGAACTTGCCTATGTTTCGTTGGGGGATGTGTCCATACTCTATAGGCCATTGTTTACATTACTTTTGATTTCTGCTTTTTTGTGTGTGTGTGTGTGTGTGTGCACGTGTAGTATGTCATACAATTATTTCCTTCGGTAGGTTGACAATTTTGAATTCTACCAAGGATGCTGCATCTTCTTCCATGATTTGATAATTGCCTCCCAAAAACACCTCATGTTGTTTCTTATACTCCTACATGAAAAAGTTGTGAAATTAACTTACTTCCTAAGCTCATCCTAGCGGCAATGAGGTGGTCATAAAATCTTATGATCCATGTTTGCTTCACAAGTCCAGAGATTAGGCCAGGTTAAGTTTTGTTGGAGAATTTACTATCTTCTTATCTTTGCTGCGGAAAATTTGCTGCTAAGAAGGTCAAGGTGCATCAAAATATCACATAAAATGTGCTTTATATATGTATAGAAATGATTACCGAAGGATGGTTGATTGGAATCCATTTACTTTTCTGTGTTAACTGGTTCTGGGTTTGCAAACTTTGCTTGGGAAATCATAGACTGGATATGGACTACACTCGTCGCATGAATAAATGATCCTTGACCATTACCATTTCTTTGTTTGCTAAATTTGCTTGCATTCTGTTGTCTTTGTTGACCCATCACATTACTCTCTTTGGTCTTTTCTATAAGATCTTCCCCTACTGTATTTTAGGGTAAATTACCAATAGATTCTACTTTTTGGACTTATTACCTAGGTCTCGTTTGGCAACATCACTTTTTAGCTTAAAATTCAAAAAGTCATTAAAAAAAATCAAAAAACTAACAATCTATATCAAAAAGTCAAAGATTTCTTTTTCTCTTCATTTTTTGCGCATCTTTTCGTAAAAAATCAAAAAGTTATTTCAAAAATATTAATTTTTTTTTATATCATATTTTAGCCAAAAAGTCAAAATGTTACTAAAAAAGTCTGTTCTCAAATGAGGCAAAGTCTTATTGATAAATAAATTTATCATGATAAATTTACCTGTAGGTAAATAAGTCTAGTTAATAGGATTGATTGGTACGTGTTCCCGCATTTTATGTTCACATATTTTTTATATATAAGAATGACTGGTCACTAAAAAAACTAATACTAATGTTTTGGGCATCATATTTTTTCAAATGCAGGCGATTTTGAAGAAGATGCTGTAATTCTCATGCATGTGAAGAGAGAAGCCTATATTTTCTTTTCAAGTGACTATTATGCGGCGCTTCCAAATTGCATTTTCATTTGCCATCTTTAGTTTCATTTTTTCAGCTTTAGTTTGTGTTGCTTTTAGTGAATGAATGATTTGGGCTTCTCGTGTTTATTCATGATATTATTCTGGAATACAGCCTTCATTCAGAAATGCTTTGCAGCTCTGTTTTTGGGGTTTCTTTCATCTCCTTGGTTTGTACAGTAGCTAGCTGTGAAGGCTTTTGTAGTGTCTTGCTTTTTTGTATGAATTATTGGTTTGCGGCTTGTAGACTAAACTGTTTGATTCTCTCTCTCTCTCTCTCTCCCTCTCTCTCTCTCTGTTTTTTTTTTCTTTTTTTTTTTTGCTTTTTTGTTTTTTTGTTCCTTTTTTTTTTTTTTTTTTAAATTTTATTTGAACAATGTAATGATTTGCTATCCTTTCCAATTACACAAGTAATTTGTTAGAAAACTTTGGTATATGTTAATAGCCAAAGGTAGAATTGGAGAAATTTTGTTTTTTGTTTTTTGTTTTGTTTTGTTTTTTTTTTTTATTTTTATTTTAATAATTTCATTTGGTGTTACACACAGGTCTCGTTTGGTAGAGTTGTGGGAAAGTGATTATAAGTTATAAATTAACAGTTTATAACTTATAGCTGCGAACATAAGTTGATTTTTGACTTATAAATTAAGTTTTTCTTCCTCCATTCAAAGAATAAGTTGATTTTTGATTTATAAAAAGTTATAAGTTGTATTGTTAAGTTAAATCAAATATATCAAAATAGTTTAAATTAAATTAAAAGTTGAAATAAGCAGAAAATAAGCTTTACCAAACAGGATCACAGTTACACTCAAATATTTAAGCACAAGTGGTTTCAATTATGATGCACCAAAAAATTTGGTAAGCAGAATTACATTATGTCATTTTTACTGTAAAAACACTCTGATGTTGGTTGTAATTCATTATATGTTAATTAAATTTCCAAATTTCCATTACCATCAGAGAAATTTTAAGTATGATCATTGCCGTCCAATGTGATGTCTTCTAAGAAGATTTGAAAATTTAATTTAACCATTACATATGACAAATCTGGCCTAGTTTTTAAGCAAAAGAAAATTAAAAAAATTAAAAATCTAGCCTAGAACTCAGCTTGGTTGGCATATTTCCACCCCCATCGTGGGCTGAGATATAGTGACCCCGGGTTTACCCTTATTGTACAGTGATCCGGACATGTGTCCGTGGATGTTGGTATTTGTTTATTATCTAGTTTGCATTCTCTCTACTTTGTATATTAAGTTATAAGATGTGTTGGGCAGGTTTGTTTCAGGTTGGTTGTGTTTGGGAGCCTAGTGTTGCTGCCCAGATTTTTGGCCCTTCGCTCGAGCGAGGAGTTTGTCGCTCGAGCGCGAGTTGAGTTTGTGTCTGGTGGGACGAGCCAGAGTGGCTTCGCTCGAGCGAGTGATGGCGTCTGGTTCTGGACTTGAGAGTTGTGTTTCTTGGCTCGAGCGAGCTTTTCTTGGCTCGAGCGGTCTGGTTTGTTCTTCGCTCGAGCGAGAGGTCTGTCGCTCGAGCGTGCTTCTGGTTACAGACCTGAG